AAACACTCCTCCGGCTCCGAAACCCTTGGCAAGGGAGTCTGGAAGGGGCACCGCTGAGGATCAAAGTGGTGGCAAAAAAATAGTCCACGGAGCAGAAACGTCGCGTGGGCCGGAGGTGGTTGGGAGGAAAGGCGCTGGAGTCTCGAATTCTAGGTCCGCCGACAAAAGTCGGCCTGTTATTGTGAGTGCACCACAGCTGCCCTTGAGTGAGCTTAAGACGCCCTCCGCTTCTGGTGATACCCGTGGTACCCCTTCCACTGTGCGTAAAAAAAGACCTCGTAGCTTAGGGGCTAAGGAGTTAGTGTTACCGCCAGTTTGTACGTGGAGAGAGCCTTTTGTTGCTGGTGTTGATAGGACGTAGAATGGCGGTTCAGTGTTTGATGCTCTCGATAGTACCTTGGCCATGGAGAAGGTTATGGGTTTCCCGACAGAGTTTGACTCGACTCGTCTCGCAGGAAGACCGTTGGATGATATGATCGAAGGGTTGGCTGCATCCTTTGCTTAGGTTAGTACCGTATTCGCCACACTTATCTATTATTTTATTTTATTTATTTTTAAATATTTTCTTTTAGGCTATGACTTTTGTGCCATTGATTATTGATCGTGGGAGAGTATTGGAGGTTGAGCATGCTAAGATACGCGCGGAAAAACTGAATGTTAGTTCATTGTATGCGGGTGTTCAAAGTGACAATGCTTCTCTTCGCTCAGGGAATGAAAGCCTGAAGAAGTATCTTGAAGAAGAAAAAGGGAAGCTGAGTTCCTTGGAGAAAAAGTGTAAGAGTTTGTCGACCCGCTCAGATGAGGAAAAATTGAGTCGTCTCAAGGCCGAAGCTAAGATTAAGGATCTAAGAAAAAAGTTGGAGAACGAAAAGACCGTCGCTCTCTCCTTCATGGAAGCTCATAGAGGGTCGAATGAAGTCTTGAAGACGCCTTTAGGTTTGATGGTGGTTGACAAGTTCTTAGGGAGCGAGTCTTATACCGAGATTAGGAATAAGTATGCTAGTGGGTTCTTTGCAGAGATCGTGCGGGATATTCGTGGTCAGGTTCGTGCTACGAAGCTTGTCCCCAAGGCCATCTTACGGGAGATAGAGCCAAGTGTTTTGGAACTTGAGCCGGAAATTGGGGCAGAGAAAATTGGGGCACTTGGTGAGCGTGACGAGTTTGACGAGTTGCCTGAAGCTAGTGGAGACGAAGACGCGAGTGTTGATCCAACTACCGAGTAGTGCAGTCGTTTATTATTTAATGCTTGCTTGAGAGTAATAGTATTTCCTTTATGATTTATTTTTAAGACTTTTGTCTTTTTTGTTTTTTAGACGTATTGCCTTTTGTTTTCATTTGCACATTTTTGGTTTATGAGCGGATTTTTATTTCTATGTCTTCTCAATTTTGCAACTTTCGTGCTTTTTGGTACTTTGTGGTTGACCAGATCCCAATGTTCCTATGGAGGGGCTCCGCAGTTTTGCCAATTTTTATTCTTAATTTTGTGTAGCGGAGTCCTTGAGAATTTGATTTCTCTATCAATTTAAGATTTGGGGAGTGAGAAAACAAGGTTCGAGTTGGCCAGACCCTTATGATCCTTGTTATCTTCCCATTTAGCTGTATTCAATGGTTTATTATTTGGATGTTGTGAGGTCACTCTTAGATCCAAGTACTGCAGAATAATAACAAAAATGATCATGAAATTATAATAGAATAAAATATTTAATTGAAATTACACAGAGTAGAAAGGTTGCGGATTGCGGTGGGCAATATGCCCCCGGCTAAGGTATTTTATTCAAACCATATGTGGCGAGCGGTATGTCCCCAACTTATTATATAATTTAAAGCATTGCGGTGAGCGGTGTGCTCCCGACTTATTACATAGTTTAAGCATTACAGCGAGCGGTATGCTCCTGATTTATTATTGAAAAATAAATATACGATAACACAACGAAAAAGGTGCACGACTAAGGCTCTAAGAAAAGTATTTCTTCAAGTTCCCTATGTTCCAAGTCCTTGGAACTTGATGTCCATCCGTACATTGACCACTTGAGTAACCTTGTATGGTCCTTCCCATTTTGGGTCCAACTTCCCTACAACATTTGAGATCCCGACTTTTCGAAGCACCAAGTCTCCTACTTGAAATGACCTTGGTTTGAATCGTTGGTTATAGGCCCATGCCATTCGAGTTTTGTAAGCTTCCATTCTTGTAGACGCGCCTTCTCTAACTTCGTTCACGAGATCCAAACTTGCTTTTATCGCCAAATCATTATGTAGGATCGAGTAGTTGGATATTCGCCATGATGGTTGCACTATTTCGGCTGGAACGACAGCCTCCATCCCATAGGCGAGGTTGAAAGGTGATTCACCCGTGGAGGTTCGGGGAGTGGTACGATAAGCACATGTTACGCTCGGGAGCTCCTCAACCCAGGCGCCCTTTGCCTCTCCCAATCTAGCCTTTAGGTGTTGTAAAATGGTACGGTTTGTAACCTCAGTCTGTCCGTTAGCTTGCAGGTTTCCTACTGAAGTGAAAATTGCTTGATTGATAGCCCTTTACACTAGTCCGCGACCTTGCTTCCACAATATTGAGTTCTGTTATCGAATATTAAGGCTCCTGTATCCCACAACGGCAGACTACATTCTTCCATGGAAACCGAATGACGTCGACTTCAGCTATTTTAGCCAAGGGTTCGGCCTCCACCCATATGGTGAAATAGTCAACCGCCACGATTAAGAAAATTCGTTGTCCACTAGCTTGCGGAAACGGCCCCACCAATGTTTTGAAAACCGGACCGGACATCGAACCGGACACACCACTGGGTCACGGTTCGACCGGTTCAACTGGGGTTCGACCGGGTTTTTCACTTTTTTTTTATATATAATTATTTTATTAATTTAATAACTTAAATGTAATATATTTTAAATTTTTTTATATTTTATTCCCTCTTTCTTCTCTTTATTATCCAACTAACTCCACTACTTTTATAAAAAATGAATTTATAATCATTTTTTTCTTTCTTCTCTCTCATCTCCCCTCTCTCTCTCCTTTCTTCTTTCTCGTAAGTTTCACGCAGAAACCACCCCGCATCTTCTTCCCTTCTTTTCTTTTTATTTTTCTTTTTCTTTATTCTTCTCCTTATGTTTATTACATCTTCTTTCCATTTCCACGCATATATTTTATTTTCTCCATTTCTTCATTTCTCCATTTTTTTTTCATTTTTTTTCTTGACCTTCTTCCTTTTCTTTTCCTCGATCGATAGATATGGCATCCACCACTACGATTGGGTGACAATACGACCCGGATCCGACTAGATCTGTCCACCCACAATCTTCTCCGTCCATTTTCGAAGCGGTTCCGGCCATGACACATTCTTTTGAGTTAAAACCCGGTTCTTGGACTGGTTCCCGGTTTTACCGGTTTTTACCGGTCGAACCGGGTTTTCGGTAGTTAACCCGGTTTTTTGACTTTTTTGGGTTTTCACCTATAACCGGACCGGACATGGCGGCGGTTCGCGGTTGAACCGGTCGGACCAGCCGGTCCGGTCCGGTTTTCAAAACATTGGGCCCCACTATATCTATCCCCCATTGAGCGAAAGGAACTGGGCTGTCGATTGGTTGGAGAAGAGATCCAGGTACATGAGTAATGTTGGCGTTTATTTGGCAAGGTCTACATTTCACAACTAACTCTCTAGCGTCTTGCTTCATAGATGGCCAGAAGTATCCTTGGCGTAACGCTTTGACAGCTAGGGCTCGCCCTCCTAGGTGGTTCCCGCGAATTCCTTCATGAATTTCGCGGAAGACGTATCTTGCTTCGTCCGGTCCAAGACATCTTAAATAAGGTACCGATAAACCTCTCTTGTATAGCTCCCTCACCCAATGAGTAGGAATCGAGCGGCTTTTATTTTAAATTTTCTCGTTGTTGCTCCGTCCTGGGGTAATTCTGACGTAGAAAGATACTCTATTATCCCGTCCTTCCAACACGGAGTGTTGATAGTGCAAAGGATTTGTGTGCTCATTTCTAACTCAGGTTTTGCGGAAGAGAGAAAGGTGATCCTACGACTGTCGAGCTTTGACATGGAACTTGTTAAACGAGCCCACTTGTCCGCCATGGTGTTTTCGGCTCTAGGTATTTGCCGGACTTCCACCTTCTCGAAATTCGCCATGAGGCGTTTGACTAACTCGAGATATTTAATCATCTTTCCTTACATGGCTTCATATGTTTCTATGACTTGGTTTACTACTAGTTGGGAGTCACTGCACGTCACCAACTTCTTGGCTCCAGCTACTTGAGCTAACTTCAAACCAGCTACGAGGGCTTCGTATTATGTTTCATTATTTGAAGCCGGAAATTCTAGCTTCAATGGGAACTCCAAGGCATCGCCTTCGGGACTCGTGATCCAGATTCCCGCCCCACTGCCTCCTGTAGTAGAGGAACTGTCTACTTGAACTGTCCAAATTGAGGAGGAACATGAAGATTCGCTAAAGACCATTTCGACGAGAAAATCCGCAAGGACTTGTGCTTTGATCGCCGGACGTGATCGAAATTATACCCCATATTCACTAAGCTCGATTTCCCACTTGGCTATCCTTCTTGATGTCTCAGGGCTTTGGAAAATTTTTTTAAGAGGGAAATTTGTCAAAACTACTACCTGGTGTGATTGGAAGTAAGGCCTCCATTTTCGTGCGGCCGTGTTTAGTGCTAAGGCCAGTCGTTCTATGTTTGAATATCTTTGTTCGGCTCCCCGTAGGGTGGAACTGACGTAGTAGATAGGTTTATGCCCTCGTTCGCCTTCAAGCACTAAAACTGCGATGATTGCCTCTGACGTAGTTGCTGAATACAATAAAAGTTCATCATCTTCCCTTGGTTTGGTCAAGAGGGGTGGCGATGCTAGGTATTGCTTCAGCTCCTCGAATGCCTTTTGGTACTCTTCTGTCTACTTGAAATTCTTCCTGTCTCGCAACACTCTGAAGAAAGGAAGTTATTTGTCTGCTGAGCGGGAAATAAATCGATTTAGTGATGCCTAACAACCATTCAATTGTTGGACGTTTTTAATGGACTTGGGATGGTCCATGTTGATCAGGGCGCCAATCTTAGCTTGGATTACTTCGATTCCTCGTTGTGAGATCATGTAACCTAAGAATTTCCCACCTTTCACCCCGAACGAGCATTTCGAAGGATTCAACTTCATTTTGTATTCCCTGAGAATAGCAAAGCACTCTTCGAGGTCCTTCAAATGGTTTTCGGCCTTGGTGCTTTTAACTAGCATATCGTCGATGTATACCTCCATGTTACGCCCATTGAGTTCGGCAAACATAGTGTTCACGAGTCGTTGATAAGTTGCACCGGCATTCTTGAGGCCGAATGGCATTACCTTATAGCAGTATATGCCTTGGTCAGTAATGAAGCTTCCATTATCTCGGTCATCAGGGGCTAGTTGGATTTGATTGTACCCTTGGTATGCGTCTAGAAAGATTAACAACTCACATCCTGAGGTAGAATCCACAAGTTGATCGATCCTTGGGAGAGGGAATGGGTCCTTAGGACAAGCTTTGTTTAGGTTGGTGAAATCCACACATAAACGCCACTTTCCCCCCGATTTCTCTATTAGGACAACATTTGACAACCACTTAGGATATTGGACCGGGCGTATTTGTCCAGCCGCGAGGAGCTTATCCACTTTCGCTTTGATATGTTTATTACGTTCTAGTCCAAAAGTCCTTTAATTTTCTTTTGCTTAACTGGCCTGAGTTTCGGGTCAACATCGAGCCGATGGACAATTTTAGATAGGGGGATACCTTCCAAATCTTCTGCTCTACATGCAAAAACATCATCGTTCTTTTGGAGGAAACCTACGAGCTTCGCTTCCACCTAGAACTCTATGTTTTTCAATTCTTCTTCTGTTTCGAGTCTCGTGTTGTCGGCTTGTTGACCGGTTGAGGAGGTGATGAGCACATCTTTGACAGCCATCACCCATTTTCTCTTTAGAAGATTGGGAGTGTCATCCCCTCCTCCCACTTGCTTTTTGTTCAAAAGTTGAGGTGTTCTTAAGGTATTCACATAACATTCTCGAGCAACGCGTTGATCACCTACGACTTCTCCAATTCCGCTAGTTGTAGGAAATTTCAACTTCATATGATATGTTGATGGGATTGCTCTGAAGAGGTTCATACTTGGACGCCCCAAAATCACGTTATATGTAGATGGTGCCTTGACGACCAAGAAGTTAACGGTGTTTTTTGCCAGGCATGGGAATGAGCCCAAAGACAAGACGAGGGAAATTTCTCCCACAGCTTCGATGGCGTGTCCTATAAAACCTACTAGGGGCGTTTTCACGGGTGCAAGTTTAGCATTGGCTATCCCTAGTTTTTCGAAAGCGTCGTAGTATATAATGTCAGCCGAGCTACCGCCGTCTACCAAAATTTTCTTCACCAAGTAATTGGAAATTGATGCAGAAATGACCAACACATCGTTGTGCTCACCACATGGCCCCTCGAGATCGTCGTCGCTAAATGCGATCTCCAAGTTTGGGTGGTGAACATGGTAAACATGTTCCGCTGGACGTTCTGACGTAGAGTATGATCCTCCTATTGCCCGCGTTGATGCGCGGCGCGCACTGGGGGTGTCACCACTCGAGGTTTCTCTGGAAATGACTGTGATTATTCCTTGAGTCAGAAGATTATCGTCCTCACGATCTTTCCGAGAATTGGGACGTTCTCCTTTCTATAGAAAATGTGGTTTACTTTTGAATTTCGAGTGTAGCGAGGTATCCACAAATTCACTCCGGTGATATGGCGCGAGTATGGGGCCGTGCTTGGTGAGCCTATCCACCACTATCCAAGTAGAATCCTAGACTTAAGAGTGACCTCCGGTGATATGGCGCGAGTAAGGGCCCGTACTTGGTGAGCCTATCCAAAGAGCATCCTTTCTTCTAGACTTAAGAGTGACCTCCCGTGATATGGCGCGAGTGTGGGCCACAAAATGCCCGTAATGAAATCCATGGTGATGTAAGACCAGCCTTCAAATCTTCGTTCAGCCGCCCCAAAAAAGCCCTAATGTAATATTCTTCAGTTAAGTTTTTGTTGAGTGACTTATGAAGAAGGCCTTTAGCTCTTCAAACTTCAGCCTATAGTCCTCCAGTGAGCTATAGTCCTCCAGTGAGCTCTCTTGCCTCAGTTTGTGGAACTACCCGAACTGCTCCACCATATTAGAAAACACATTCCATCCTATAGGATGTTACATTTCCTAATCCATCCTCGAGTGTTTCTCCCATCATCTTGTTTCTGTTTTTTGACATATCGTGAGCGTATATGTGGTGCTGTGTCTAGTGTAGTTTGTGGTATTTGAAATAGCTGTTTTGAGATGATAATGTAGAGATGCCGCAACCTGCTCTAGATACGAAATGTAATAGCATGATTTGGAAATAATGATAAATAAGAAAAATGGATAATGATTCAAGACACACTTGTAGTAAGATCCCCCCATGTGTCTTCATGTATGGTATTCTTTTGTTTCTTGACATGGTTTTTGCACAAGAGTATTATTTCTTGCCTTAGATTTTGGGAGCAATCCTGAAAGTGTTCGGATGTTATTTCTATCGGTTTTTTTGTTATTTTGCTTTGTGATTTTAGTTGGTCAGATAATGCACCACTGGTGTGGATCGTGCTGCTTCTGGAGATCAAGTGAGTAGTTATTCTGAAGATCTCTTTTTGGTTTTGTTCCATGCTTTATAAATCTTGAAGTGGTCTTATCTGCATTGAGCAAGTTAACGTTCGTCTATGAAGATTTGGTTTTTTTTCCTGGCAAATTTTCTACACATTCTTGAAGTTGGGACCATGCATCCCAGAATAGTAAACCTGGTTTAGTTGCCCGTGTTGGATTTCGTACGTGTAGGATTTGTTGATGTTGTGATACATTTGTGGCTGCCGTTGAGGCCTCGGTTTCTGCTTGTATGTTGTGATTCTTATGAGGAGACTTTAGATTTGCTGCTCTGCTGTTTTGATGATGTTTAAAATCTATTGAATATGCTTTGGAATACCATTCTGCACAGTTCTTGGTCACTTCATTGTGATTTCTACTATTTGAGAATTTTCAAGTGCGTGAAATTGTCTTTTTGCAGATTGTGAGTTAATGTTCTTATCTAACATGGTAATATGCTAAAGTGATGCATTTTTCAAGTCTCAATGAATTTATTTGATTAAGATTTAGTTCTGCGTAAATGTGTAAGTATTAATTGCCTTATGTGATAAAATTTATTTCCTCTTGGACTTGTCCTCGATACGACTTTGGTAATTTTTTTCACATGAGGTTTTTCCTTCATCAGTAATGTTCGCCACAATAATTAAAAGACAAATAAGGGAAATGAATAATTGAAACGAGTACGGAAGTTTTTTGTAGTAACTAAGCTTTTATCCCATCTACTATTTTCTGTGATTTTTAGCTGCTTTGGGATTAATGGGATACCGTATTAATTAATTTACTTATAAAATTAACCTACTTGTTTGCCAATATGAAGAATCTTAAAAACAATTTTGTCGAATGTAATAATAGCCAGGAGGCACAGGTAGATTAGTAGGTATGTTATATGAATCAAAATATTTCTCAGCCTTAATTAATATTTGTTGTCTGGAGGCACAAGTAAATTAGTACAATGTCCTTGCTTCTATCTATATGTGATTATGTGTACTATGTGTGTGTTTTAGTGTTGGTAGTTGTATATAGATTTATTTTTGTAACTCCGCCTGTGCTGCAATATTTGCTCAGCACAGCCGGTCCCAAGCCCGGGTAAAGGAGGAGGGCCGAGAATATCTAACTGTCAAACATTAATAATATGTTTTTCGAGCATGAAAAATCAGTTTTACCATTTTTCGCTTGACCAAACCCTTTTTTTGGCCTTTGGAAGCAAATTTTGATATCATTCGTACTTGCCAAAACAAGTTAATAGAAAACATAAGCCCCCGAAATTTTGATATCATTCGTACTTGCACTGATAAGTTAACTTTTTTATGTGAAAAAAAAAAGCATGGAGATTATATAGTTAACTTTTCATTTTTCTACATTTAGACGTAGTAATGTATTATCGAATTACGTGTGGCTTCTTGAACTTTCTCTGCATGTCCTCTGGTTTTTTTGTGGCTTGTTTGCCAGTATGAAAAAAATTCCTAAACACTATGGTATATGAATCAAAATATTTCTCAACCTTAATTAATATTTATTGTCTGGTATGTTCAATTTCCTTGCTTCTATCTATATGTGATTATGTGGGTGTTTTAGTGTTGGTAGTTGTATATAGGTTTATTCTTGTAACTCCGCCTGTGCCTGCAATATTTGCTCAGCACAGAAAATCTAACTGGCAAACATTAATAATATGTTTTTCCAGTATTACAAATTAGTTTCCCATTTTTCTAAATTTTCGTTGGAAATGGATTGCGACATGCATGAAATGGATGTTGCAATCCATTTCTAACGAAAATTTAGAAAAATGGGAAACTGATTGATGCGTGATGTTCTGAATCATAGTAACTGTTGAATACCAATGTACGAGTGGAAGTACAACAATTTGGCTGACTGTCTTAACGCTATTCTCGTAGTTTAGGGCTTGTTGTTTTCTCGTAGTCTTTGTTTCCTTAGATCTCGTTCTCTTTGTTTTTTTTTCTTTCCTTTTTTTTTTGTTTTCTTAACTTTTAGATTCCAAAAATTTTGGAAACTGGAATTGAAAATGCTTTTTTACTTCTGGAAAAATACAACTTTGTTTTTATTCAATTTTTTTCGAAGAGGTCGATTTCGATCTGATGCATCTGCACCCATAGTGTTTCCGTGTTTTCTCCTTCTCGATTAATATATATGAAAAAAACAATAGAAAAATAAATATTCAGGTCTTTTTTCTGTTTCATGATTGAATAGGTCTTTTTGGTTTGATGGATGGATAAGGGGTGATTGCAATATAATCACTCATAATCCTATGGTTGGTACATATGATAAAGACTCGGTACAGATTCCAAGCCCGATACCAAATCATGCATTATCCTATCACAAAGGGTGAGATTGTGTAACCCATGGTAAGCCTGTAAAACAAAATTAGGAAAAAAGACTGACTTCTATCATAACTTACATGAAAACTTGATTTAAAAATAAAAAATTCTAATTCTTAAATCCTATCGCGACTATAAGATTTTTTTTTCTTTTTTCTTGAAAGAACGATTGTGAGATTTTTGCAAGCCCTAGAATTCGTGACTGTGAGATTTCATGTCTTCCGCTCCTATATCTTTACATATGTTATGGTTTTGTGACATCACATTGCACAATTTTGTTCGTTTCATCATGCAAAAAACTTTTAAAAGTTCATAAACACTACATCTTGGTCGATTTTCTACTACGTAATTCTCTTAATCTCAGATTAGTGTGAATTTATGTTCGAGAATCAATGGTGTAAATTAGCATATTTATGATGTTTGTGAACCTAATGTATAGATCCATTTTTCTGAAGATGGACGAGCTAGATAGGCACGAACTTCTAGAGCATTAGATGTAGGATCACGAGACATAACTTTTCGACGAATATCTTCCCTTTGAATAGTTGCACACACACTCTTCAAAGATGGAAGTTCTGCATTCATAAGAATATGGCTCCTAAAGTCCTCAAAATTAAGAATAAGGCTGGCTAACAATTGAAACACCCGATCATCCTCTATTCGTTTCCTCAAAATGACTGGATCAATCGTTAGAGGTCGATAAATTTCTAAACTCATTACACAAACTTTTTAGACTGCCCAATGGACTCACACACGGTTTATCATCTTGATGAATGTTGGCAATATCTTGTTGAATCTGGAAGATTTTGGCAGAATTGTTTCGATTCCGATACATGTCACGAACTTCTTCCCATGGATCCTATGAGGACTCCGAATAAGTAAGGATTTCAGCAAGATGACTCTCCATTGAGTTGAGGATCAGAGACATAACCATTTGATCCTTTTGTAGCCAAGCATCGTAATCTGGCGAAATACAATCTGAAGATTTTTCCTTGTCATTGATGAACAAAAAGAATTTTATTAAAATTAAAAGTCAGCAAAAATGATAAATGCGGGTCCAAAAAAGCTAAATGCAGTTGGTGGAAATGTTGAATGCAAGTGATCGAAGATTGCACATAAGGGCACAATTATACTTTTGCCTCTTCGGGGTATCTTAAAGAAAGAATTTTAGGGGCGGACCTACAGCCCTATATATTTTCCATATTATGGATGTATATCACATGGCCCCTATTATGGTGTGGTTTTTTTATTTTTAGTTTTTTGAGCTCAAATTTAATAGCTATGAGTTTTACGTTTATCGACGTGGATATTCTTATTTTTTGAAAATTATGAAATTTTTCATAAAATTTCCGCTATGTTTTTTTAATTTTAAATCTTAAGTGATTTTCGACGTTTTCCGAGATTCCAAAATTTTGGACCTTTTGGAATTGGAATTAATTTTTAAATTCCGAAAATTTTATAGTTGGAATTCATGATAGATATATTAAATTAATTAAATGGGTCATTTTGATATATACCCCTAATATGAAAAATATATAGGGCAAGGTCCACCTACCCCTAAAATTATTTCTATGAGATACCCTCCTGAAAAGGCAAAAGTACTATTGTGCCCCCTATGTGCAATTTTCGCCCAAGTGCATTCATCATTTCCCCCAATTACATTTAGCATTTTTGACTTGCATTCATCATTTTCGTTGATTTTAATTTTAATAAAAAATATTGTTTTTATTCCTATATATATATTACTTTTATTATTATTATTATTCTATTTTTTAATCTTTCAAATTTTTTTAATTTGTTTTATTTTTTAGATTATTTTAATGTTTAATTTTTTTATATATATATATATATATATATATATATATATATATATATATATATATATATATATATATATATATATATATATATTATAAATTTACTGTATTGAAATCGCTACACATGACTATAGTGTACTACAAGTTCTATAGTCATCTATAGTTACCTAACTATAGTATACTACAAGTTCTATGGTCATGTACAGTTATATTTAGTCGTGTACTGTCTTTTACACCAAAGTTATGATCGACTGATTATGTAGACTGCTGATTTTATAAAAAAAGAATTTCATCTACACCAAAAACAAAATTCACAATTTGAATCTTGATATTACAAATAAATTAGTACCAAAAAATAAATTGAAAAAACATAATCATCAACGTCACTATACATAACTTATATATAATTAGCTTATACATAACTATATGTTACACATGTAACTACACGTGACTATATATGTCTGCATGTTTATAAACACATGTGACTATATATGACCACACATGACTATATATAACTTCATACCACAAATCTCTCTAACACTTGAACAAATATAGCCAAGTTCCGATCGGGAAAGCATTTAGCAATTGCATTACATGTGCTCTCACTAGAAAAAAAACCCAATCAGAAATAGAAATTGGTGAGTAACACGGTAAACAAATTTATTTAAACAAAGCACGATTCACACGAGCCTATGGCAAAATATTATTAAACCTTTCCATCCAAATAAATGGAAGAAGAAGGGCTATAGAAGCTTCTATAATCATTTTATGTTATGTGTGCCCGCGTAATCTTTTATTAGATTTATATATATATATATATATATATATATATATATATATATATATATATATATATATATACCACATATGACTATATATAACTTCATACCACAAATCTCTCCAACACTTGAACAAATATAGCCAAGTTCCGATCGGGAAAGCATTTAGCAATTGCATTACATGTGCTCTCACTGGAAACAAAACCCAATCAGAAATAGAAATTGGTGAGTAACACGGTAAACAAATTTATTTAAACAAAGCACGATTCACAAGAGCCTATGGGCAAAATAATATTAAACCTCTTCCATCCAAATAAATGGAAGAAGAAGGGCTACAGAAGCTTCTATAATCATTTTATGTTATGTGTGCCCGCGTAATCTTTTATTAGATTTATATATATATATATATATATATATATATATATATATATATATATATATATATATATATATATATATATGACCACATATGACTATATATAACTTCATACCACAAATCTCTCCAACACTTGAACAAATATAGCCAAGTTCCGATCGGGAAAGCATTTAGCAATTGCATTACATGTGCTCTCACTGGAAACAAAACCCAATCAGAAATAGAAATTGGTGAGTAACACGGTAAACAAATTTATTTAAACAAAGCACGATTCACACGAGCCTATGGCAAAATATTAGTAAACCTTTCCATCCAAATAAATGGAAGAAGAAGGGCTAGAGAAGCTTCTATAATCATTTTATGTTATGTGTGCCTGCGTAATCTTTTATTAGATATATATATATATATATATATATATATATATATATATATATATATATATATATATATATATATATATATATTTGTATTTAATATATATTATGTGTGTGAAGAGTATATGCTGGTGATGTTTATGTATATCAGTAGGGTAGGTGATAGTGTGTGTGTGCAAATTCAAATTTGAAGCAAAATTCGTTGTTTATTTAACTCATTTTCTTTTTCGCAGGTTTTGGTGTTTGAACTACTATGTAGTAAGTTTTTGCGGAGTCGACATTGTGTTCGTCGTTCAAAACAAGTTGTTCTTGTGTTGCAGATCTAAGCTTGTAACAACTCGTGTTTCATTACCGATAATCGATAGATCGAAATAGGATCAAATGGATGTGATTTCTCTTCTGTGTTCTATCTTTCTGGCTAATCGAGCCGATGAAAAATATTTGTGCACGAATTCACATGAATCTATATGTACCAACCATACATATAGATTTATGTTCTGCACATGTATATACGTATTATATTATATAGTTTATATCTATACTTTTTTACTTATAAAAGGAGGAATCCTATGGTGGTTTCTTCTCTTTTATGTAGAGACAAAAATACCCTTTGGCAAATTCAAACTTTGAAGGACAATTGAGTAAGATAAACTGATTGTTAATTATTATAAATTAATATTATCTTATGACATTAAATAATTATATTATTAACTATTGTCAAATATAGTATGGATAAGTTTAAACTAATAAGATCAATTTATGTAACAAAAATCTAGATACACGTACAATAGAATTACCAAAAGAAATAATACCAAGAGGGCATTTTAATATTAGTTTTAATTATCTTAACATATATAGTTATCTAAAATATAATTAAAAAAAAACTCTTCAATTACTTAGTTAGTATCAAATTTTTTCAGTTGAAGAATTTTATCACTCTCCGAATTTTGAGTAGCTATGTTTATCATTATCTATGTTTACTAATAAAAAAATAGTTTATAAAATCATAATTTTATCAATGCCAATCAATAGTTACTATGATATCTACGATTAGAAATACCAGTAATATAAATAAATAAATAAATAGTTTAGTTTATTTATAAAAATAAATTGTAATCTTTCATTGAATAAATTTTCCATAATTCATGAATATTCAATTATTATTAAGGAAAAACTATCTGATTCCTAATCATTGTTCAACTAATTCCTAATGTATTTATTAATATTTAATTAATAGCAACTTTATTGAGATGGGAATTTATATGTTCTCAAGTCTTTAGTATATATTCATAATACCCCAAACAATTTTTGTTTAAATAAAATGGCATAAAAGACAAAATAATTAATATATATTTTTGTATCGATTTTATGTTCTACACATACAAAAAATAAGGTTATCATAATCCACCAAGGCACCACCACCTATAACCATGAAAAATGTGGAGAATCAAACAGAACCACCGGCAGCTACATAACATCTTACACCGATTTTTCAAGCGCGATAGCTCTTCGCATTTTGCGGTTTCAATAATGGCCAGCGATGCCGATATACATGGTGACGGGAATGAATTTAATAATTATTTGACAAATTACGAGAAAACTTTTGAGGTAAGGTCTAAATACAAAAATCCCCAAATTATTTGCGTGATTACAAAAAACCCATGAGGTATGTTGTCGTCTTACACAGTCTCCCTACGGTATTACTTTTAACGGAATCTTTTTTATTTCATGGAATATTCATCTGAAAAGGTCATTTTGGCCCTTGTTGGGTAATTGTAAACATATTAATTACTTAGGAGGCAAAATGTAATATATTTAAAAAAACAACGTAGTTACTTTTAATTTTAAAATTGTAATGGATTTCTTGAGTTTATAATTTTAAAAATAGAAAATATATATAAAAGAATTAAAAATATCTTGTAACATTAATTTTTTTATTTATTTTGTATTTGTTTTGTTTATAATTTTATAATGATTTGTTCAATAAAATCGATTTCATATATTTCGGAAAGATATTCACATATTTCTTATTTTAGGTTAAAAATATTTTCGTTATTTTTTAATAAATTTCCAATAATATTTCAATATGAAACAAATAAAATGCAAAAAGTATATATAAATATAAATAAGTTACAAAAAAATATTATTTATTCGTCAAAAGTGGCATGTGTAAGACGACAACATACTTGGGGGGTTTTGGTACTTAAGCAAATATGGGGGGATTTTATTAATTAAACATTACTCTGAGGGTTTCTCGTAATTTATCATTTATTAATTTTCAAATAACATAAGGGTAAAACAGAAAAGATACATTTTCTGGGAATTTAATCGGTCAAACGCTGGTCAGAAGGCGATTTTTGTAATTACACAAACATGAGGGGGATTTTTTTAAATTAGGCTTTACGTGAGGGTTTTCATACTTTTTCCTAATTATTATAAAGCATACATGTAATACTTATTTATTTTACCTTTTTATGTTGGCTTCTATTTGTTGTAAATTCATTTCTTAGGTGACTGATTTGGCTTCAAATTTTCTAGATCACATAAGTATGTGTTGACAACAACATATATAATAACACCTGAGGCTGGACTCAAATTGTAAATTTGGACGCAGGTTCTCGAGATTCCAATACTTACAATTTTAATCGATAAATTTGGTAAGTTTCCGTTATATTGTTTCTTCAATAATTGAGGATTTTTTTGATTAATTATTGAAGGTTTAGTTCCAGTTTGCACCCTCGAGATGTACCATTTTGGCACTTTACATCGCTACAAAAAAATAATATCACGTTCACCCCAATATATTTTAAGGTTAATGAAGACAATTTCATGTTTTAGTAGCATTTGTAAATGAAATTTTTCTTTTATGTGATAAATATAATTCAAAACTAGAATTCTGATAAATAAATTACAATTTTTTTTTGTATATGTACCACTTTTTCGGAATTGGTAAAAAAATGATGACTTTTTTTTTGTATGAAGCGATATTTTCTATGTAATTTGGTGAAAAATAGTTGAATGATGGAAAAGTAATAAACAAATTAATACTTTCTACACAGAAAATAAATATTTTTGTGATGGAAAGTCTCAAGTTAAATTGTTTAGTTCTTCTCCCCACCATTCAACCATTTTCTCACTAAATTACTTAAAAACTTCCGCAAATTATACTTTTTTTTGGCTAAAACAATTGGGGTGCAATGTGAATGATTAGTTTCCTTTTGAGAGTGCAATCTATTAACATTTTCGGGAGTGCAACGTGCCGAATGCTATATTTGGAATGCCAAGTGGAATAATTAAGTCATTTCGAAAAGAGAAAAAATGAAATGAATTTGTAAAATCATCACAAAATTTCAATTATTTTGGCTAACATGTTTAGAGTTTAGGGTTAACATATACATCACTGCAAATATTGTTAATTTACTCATTTTCTTGAGTTACAATTTCAATTTTGTCTTTCTCGGTTATGAATATGATCACATGTGTTGGGAATAGATATTTCGTTGTGTTACATTATATTACCAAAAAAATGAGAAAATTTGTATAACAATTAATCACGTCAGTGAAAAGCGCAATGATATTGATGACGCACAAAAAACTGTTATTTCACTTACTCGAAATTAAGCAAGAAAAAGAAAGGAAAACAAAGTTGAGGGAAATAGATCAATGAAATCCATGTTCTTGCAAACTTTTGAGAATTTTTCTTGCTTATTATGTGAATGAGAAGTCTTATGGACCTTTAAATCAAGAAAATCAGTGTATTTGACTATGTTTCTTTTCCAATTCCACATAATTTCGGTGGAGCACTTGAAAAACCAACTTTGTTTCATATCTTTTAAAAAAATTCAACTCAGTCCCCAAATTGTAAGGTTATATGATTGAATTAAGGAGATATATCCATAACTTAGACTTTCACCCCTCAATTGGGATTTTCTTCATCGTTTCACCATTCTACAGTTTTAAAGGGGTTTTTAGGTATGTGTGCAAAATTATTGTGAAGTAATTTCTGGAGTTCGCTTCAAGATTTGAAAATAAAATTTAGATACATAAAAAAAAATAGTGGAATCATGAATACAAATATAAATAGAAATTATATGAATCTAAATAAATGTTATATTATAATATTAAACAAAGTTGAATTATAAATATCTTAGTTTTTAACACCCAATGAATTCTGTTTTCAAAAAGAAAAATAATAACAATAATATTCTATCTATTCAAGAAAATATGATAGTGCTCAAAGAAGAAATTGCAAGAAAAAACTAATACATATTAGAAGAAACGGGTAAATAATATTTTCCAATGATGATCGATGTGCAAATAAAATCAAGATGAAAGAAAATAAAAAAGTATTAAATGGAATCTTGAATATAAATATACATAGAAATTATGAATCTATACATATTGTAATAGTAGACCAAGTTTAACTAATGAATAATATCAATATACTCCAAATAAATTCGATATTTTAATTTGTATTATTATTTTGATTGAATAATATGCCAATAAAAAATAAAAAAAAAAACCCCGATTAAATTGGCACAAGACGTGCAACGCACGTCCACCTTCCTAGTTCAAAAAAACACACAACACCACACGTACAAACCCCACCAACATACACATAGCCAACAAACACGTACGCTGACTTCACACTGCATCACAATTTTAGAACTACTTTTCTCAAATTGAATTACATAATTCAATTACCTCAATCGAGTCATATATCCTCAGATTGCACACACAATTTTAGAATTACTTTTCTCAAATTGAATTACATAATTCAATTACCTCAATCGAGCCCTATATCCTCAGGTTTCCACTATAGTTTTCCTAAGTTCTAATAGATGTCGATGATTTCATCTTCAACGGTGGAAACCCTAGTTTTTCTCGTTTTCTGAAACCGGCATGCTTCACAATTTTCGCATAACAACCGTCGCCGACGATTTAAGCCGTCACACCCAAGCCTCTGCCGCACGTCTGATAAGT